ACTCATGAGGGTTCTGCTCTTATGAGCAGAATTAGGATCTTTATTTTAAAAAGAGATTGACGAGAGCTGCCTTGCCCCTTTTGACTTATGACACAGCAATAGGTTGCCAATTACGAAGGAGAAAGCCCTCACCAGACACCAAGTCTACTGGTACTTTGATCTTGGACTTCCTAGCTTCCAGAACTGTAATAAATAAATTTCTATTGTTTATAAATTACCCAGTCTACAGTATTTTGTAATAGATGCCCAAATACACTACGACAAGTCTCAGGACCTTAGTTGGCTATAATCAATCCCTAATAAATTCCTTTCTCCAGTCCTGATCTCTATCACATACATCCAGCTGCACGTTGGTATCTTCCCCATGTAGTACCCAATACATTGCAAAATGAATTCACTTTCCTTGTCCCTCAAATTGTTAGGTCTTCAGTATTCACTATGTCAGTTATTGACACAATCACCAGTTCCCCCTTCCCTCCTAAGACACCTAGGCCAAAATTCTGACATCAGTTTAGTTTCTTCCCTTCCATTTTACTTTCTATACTCAATCAATCCTCAAGATTTTTCTAATTTTAACTACTAAAGATTAGAGATCTTGCTACCACTTGCTGTAACTTCTCTGCCAAATTCTGTTTACATCTAAAATACTGGCTGAACCTAATACCTCTTCTACTTAGATCTCTGATCTTTTTCATTATCTATAAAGGAATCTGCCTAAACTCTTGAATTCTATAAATGGCTTTATATGGTTTAGATCTTGTCTACCTCTGAGTTCACGTCATGCTCCAGGAATACACAAGTCATTTTTAGTTCTCTGTCATAACATCTTAATTCAAGGTTCTTTCTTTCCGATAGTATTTTCTGCACCTGGAATGCTCAATATTTTCTCTCACAAACAGTGCCTTTTTATGTCCTATTTAAGAAAATGTCTGACTACCCAAAGTTACAAAAGGGCTGTATTATCTTTTACATTTAGATCCACAATCTATTTTGAATTTCTTTTTATTGACTAGGCATCAAGGTTTCCCCAGCCCCATACACACACATATGGATGTTCAATTGCCCTAGCACCATTTATTGAAAGGCCATTTTTCTCCACATTACTGAAGTGTTACTTTTGCATTAAAAAAATAAATTAGCAAGCAAACAAGCATCTTTTTGGGACCTCTGTTTTGTTCCATTGGTCAGTTTGTCCTGTTCTGTTGTTTTTGAGGCAAGGTTTCACTATGTAGCCCAGGCTGGCCTCCAACTCCCAATTGTCCTGCCTCTGTCTCCCTAGTGGTAGGACTTCAGTCACGTGCTACCATACCACCCCACTGGTCTACTTTCTATTGTGATGTCAAGACCATACTGAGTTAATTTTTGTAGCTTAATGTTAATATCTGGCAGGATAAATCCTCTAGTTTAGCTATTCATCCAGATTATCTCAACTATTCTTGACCTTTTCAATTTCCATATGAACTTTAGAATCAGCTGGTCAAGATTAGACTAAATCCATAGGTTTAGTGGATAGAACTGACATCTTTACAATACTATGTCTTCCAATCAATGAATACATTATATCCATTCATTTATTTGAGTCTTTTATTATTCTTCTCAATAGTATAATTTTCAATACAGTTCTTAAAGTCTTTCATAAAATTTATTCCTAGATGTAGTAGGCTGAATCATAGCCCCAAAGATATCAGGTCTTGACCCGGGAACCCTTCAATGTTACTGTATATGAAAAAAGGGTCTTAATTGCACATGCAAGTAAAAATAGTGAGACAAAAAGATAATGACCCTAGATTATCCAGGTGGGCCCTTATAAATGCCTAAATGTCACTATACTGTCTTTGTATAAGTAGATAGGTGCTTGTGGATTACACTTGTGATCCTAACTACTTGAGAGGCTGAGATCAGGAGGATAGTGGTTCGAGGCCAACTAGGGCAAATAGCTTGTGAGTGACCATTTCCAAAATAACCAGAGCAAAATGGACTAGAGGCGTGGCTGAAGTGATAGAGCACCTGCTTTGCAAGCGAAAAGCTCTGAGTTCAAACCCCAGTACCACCAAAAAGAGAAAGAGATAGAAGGAGAGGAAAACTCAAAACATAAAAAAGAGAGGGGGAAGTAGAGGAAAACTCAAAACATACACAGGAGACAAGGCAACATGAAGATACAGATGTTGGAGCAATATAGCTTCAAGCAAGAAATGACAGCAGACACCAGAAATTGGAAAAGACAAGAAACAGATTTCTCCCAGCTTCTAGAGGGAGTGTAGCCTTTTGACACCGTGATTTCAGACTTCTGACCTCTAACACTACGAAAGAATAAATGTTTTAAGCCAGTGAGCTTATGCTAATATTACAGTAGCCAAAAAAAATGAATGTACTAGATATTTCATGTATTTACATTTAGTTAACACCTTAAAATTCATTTCCTAACTGTTTAGTATAATTGGTCTTTTTTTAATATACTGACCATAACAAGCAACCTATTAAATTCACTTATTTAAACTATTTTATGCATAATAGTAAGATTGTCATGCTTTCTCCAAATAACAGATATGTATCTTTTAATCATTATGCCATTTTCCCTACCCTACCTTTTTTTGTGTGTGATGCTGAGATTGAACCCAAGGCTGTGCACTTGGCTAGGCAAGTGCTCTGTTACTGAGCTACATCCTCATCCTACATTCAGTCTTTTAACTTTGGAACTATAAGAAAGTATTATCTGTTCCAACTTTAAAATAGGATGAAAATAGTAAAAAAAAAAAAAGTTTAAAAAAACAAACAACATAACAAATATTCTAATTAACAAATCCAAAGGCCTTTTCTTAAACCATTCTCATGACATTGTACCACTGAACACAATTTATTAACCTATTTTCCAAGTTTTCTTCCTTGCCCACCTGCTTCTTTTCTTCCTCTAACCCCTTAAAGGTGGGTATTTCCAGGATTTTCTCCTGAGGACTTTTCTGTTCTGTAATGCCCTTGTTAATTGTTGGGTAACCATTTTTAAAGCTCATTATCAGCTTTCAGAGCCAGGCCAACTTCAGGTGCTTTCCTTTTATAGAGCAAAACAGTGAATTTGCTTTCCTTGTTTGTTTTGTTTTGTTTTAATGCTATATACCCCCATCCCAGACTCTTTTTCCCAACTGTGGAATGAAGTCTTTGCTCTGCCCTCTTTTCTGTGCTCCAGTAGAATCTTTTCACTTTAAAGTCACCAAGGTTCCTAACTCTCCACAATGTTTTGGTTACAGATCTATATGCAGACTCCTTTCTATTCAAAAGTACACGGGAGGTGTTGCATGGGATATTGGAAAGCTTGCTGGTAAGGGGCCTGAGTGAAGTGTCTTGGTGCATTCCCGTAGTTCATGGTCAGGCTTCTGTGTTACAGGACCAGAGTCACGTTCATAAGAAGCTCATTATGGAAACCAAAATACAATGAAAAGTGTAACTATTGGCAGTTACAGATTTCATTCATTTCACTTGGCTTTCTCTCCTTGTAGAAAAAATTACTGGGAATTAAAATATTATGACTGTCTTTGTTGAGAAAAAGAACAGGATAAAGGTTAAGCTGTATGATTAAAAAACTTAATTGGAATCCTATCAAGCTTTGATAAAGAAATGAGAGTATCTCTGCACCTGGGCAGAATACTTCCTCCTGTAGACAGGAGGTCTGCCAAATATTTGCTTCCCAGAGTTTTCTTGGCTCAGTTCCTGAGTGTGTTATTTCTTTCGGTAAAGGTATGCTGTGGGCAAAGAGGCTCATTTCTGGTTTTAGCCACTCCACACTGACCTGTAATCGGATCTTTACTTTCATGTGTTTGAAGAGTATCTCCCTGTGGTTCCCAAATACTGCTCCGTACACATCTGCATACTAGACACTGTACATCCTAGCTCCAATGCCAGGCAGCCTGGGACACAGCAGACATCCTCAAATGTGGTGAGCAGCTCCTGTTCCTTCTGCCTAGTGCAATTAGGCAAGGCTTTGCAGAGCACATGTTCCAGGCTGGAAATCCGGCCAGAATGCAGCTCTCACCTCACCTCTACTTGAGGACACCGCCCTCTCAAGGATCTCTGCTCCAAGCCAGAGAGGGCTCAGAAGCACCTACTGGGTACAAACCCGGCAAGGGCTCGTCCTCATTTCATTTCCCCACTTACGGCATTTACTCTTATTAAAATAGCAAAAAGAAAAAAAAAAAAAAAAGTGGAAAGTGTTGAGGGGGGGTGGAGGAGGCTTTAGCAAAAACACTGCTGCATTGCTCAGCCCGTAAGCGCATCTTGTCACCCTCGGTCTCTCGGGAATCAGACCCCAGTTCCGAGATCCAGAAGCAAAAACTGTGGCGTCTAGAGCGCTCACGGCCAAGTCTACTTTTCCTGCGGGCTGGGCCTCGGAATCCCAAGGTCGCCCAGCTACAGACTGCGCGACTGCATGGCGGCCAGGCGCGCGCGCACCGCCAGCCTGGCACTGCCGGAGAAGCGCGGGACCGAAGAAGAACCGCAACCAACCTACCCGGGCCCGCCCACTGGTCCGCCCGTCTGGCCAGCCTGGCCCACGGCCGCGAACTCGGGCTCCCCCGCCCCCAACTCGACCGGCTGGGTCGGGTCGCGCTGGCCTCTGCAGGTTGACCGCGTTCCTTCCGCCCAGAGAGGACAAAGAGTCCCGCTCCCTGGCGTGCGTCTACCGCCCGCGCTCCGCAGCGCCCCCTAGGAAGGGACGCCGGACCGGCGGCCTCGCCTTTGCGGCGAGCTCCCCAGCAACTCAGTAGGGACGGCGGAGCCGGTGGCGAGCGGGGCTTCCCCGCCCCTCCCCCCTCTCCCCTCCCCCTCCCCCTCCAGCGGCCGGAACCTCCCTGCGGGGCGGAGTGATACCGGCGGCGGCGTAGAGCGCGGCTCGGCCGTGAGGGGCGCCCGGGACTGCGCGCGGGGCCGGGCCGCGGCGTTGGGAGGAGGGGAGAGAGGCGGGGCCGGGGCGGGTTGTTGTGAGGCGACTGCGCTACTGCCGGACCGGGGCGGTTATGGCGGCTCCATATTAACACCCTCCTCCTCCTCTGCCGCCGCCGCCGCCGCTGTCGTCTCCTCCTCTTTTCCCTCCCGCCCGCGCTCGTTAGCCGTCTCCCCCTTCACCCTGACGCCTACCTCTTCCCCTCACCTTTCCCCCTCCCCTCTTCTACCATGCCCGGCATGATGGAGAAAGGGCCCGAGTTACTGGGGAAGAACCGATCGGCCAACGGCAGCGCCAAGAGCCCGGCGGGGGGCGGCGGAGGCGGCGGCGGCGCCTCGTCCACCAACGGCGGGCTGCACTACTCGGAGCCTGAGAGCGGCTGCAGCAGCGACGACGAGCACGGTGGTAGCCTCGAACTCCTCCCCGCCAGCCCGCCTGCCCCCCGCCTCCTCCTCCCCTCCCCCAGCCCCCTCCCCTCCCCTCGCCGCGCTCCCGCCCTCCCTCCCCTCGGAGCCCGGGCGCTGCGGTAGCCTCGAACTCCCGGTGCAGTGCAGCAGCACCCCGCGACCCCCGTCCCTCCGCCCTCCCCCAGTGCTCCGCCGGCCCCCTCCCCGCCCCCATCCGCTGCCACCTCCCGGAATGCCCGGAGTTAATATCTTCCCATCCTCGGCCGCTCCTGTGCTCCCTCCGGCATAATTTTTTATTTTGAATTAAGTCTCTTTTATTTTTTCTTTCCCCCCCCTTCTTTTCTTTGCTTCTTTTTTTATTATTATTATTTTTTGGCATTGCTTTGCAGATGTTGGGATGAGAGTCGGAGCTGAATACCAAGCTCGGATCCCTGAATTTGATCCAGGTAGATGTATTTGCTTAAGGAAAATCTCGTCTTCTTTTCTGGGGGGGATTAGGGGTGCGGATGTGCGGCTGGGCTGGGAGGGGGATGCGGGATGGGATGGGATGGGATGGGCTGGGCTGGGCTGGATTGGATTGGATTGGACTGGGCTGGGCTGGGCAGGACAGGGCTAGGCTGGGTTGGCATCTCTGGCGGGGAGGCTGTCAGGCTTGGCCGGGCGGTGACACAGGGCGTGTGGGCAGATGTGTGCACGGCAAGGTTAACATGGTTCCCTTTGAAGGCCCCTTGCCCGCTGGTGGCATCGCCTTTCTGTCCCTGGAGCGGGGTCGGGGAGGATGGAGGCAGGCGGCGGCCCTTGGCGGAGTCGGGGTCCATGGCAGGGGAGCGGGAGGGGGTGCGGGCCCGGCGTGTGGATGTCAGCGGCGCCCCGGGCTCCGGGACACCCGCACTGCGCTCTGCCAGGCAGGCGGGCGGCGGAGGCCTGGGCTGCTGTCACTCACTGGCCCCGGCGACCCCCGTGCAAACGGGAGCCTCCTTTCTTGGCTGGGCGGCGTGGCTTCGGCCGCGGCATTGCTGCGGAGTGTGGGAGCCGCGAAGGGGCAGGGGTGGAGGCCGGAGGCGGGGGACGCGGGCTGCACGCCCCGCTCTCCAGCCAGCCCTGGAAGGCAGACCACAAGACGGTGGCTGCAGCTGCCAAGGAGACATTTTCTCCCGGAGCAGCCAGGTTCCAGCGTCCTCTGCCAGCCCCGCTTGCGGGCTCCCTGTCTACTTTTCTCCAAACAGGCTCCCCAGCGGTCACGGGGCCTCAGTCTGCGCGCGGATTGGGCGAGAGTTCCGCTTATGGAGCCCGAGCCCGAGCCCGAGCGGAGCGCCCTGCGCCCTCCCACCGCCCCGGTCGCTGCAGCTCCGGCTTGCGCGGCTTCGGGAGCCCCCTCCCCGCCTTTGCTGACAGTTGATCAGTTCTTGCCAGCGCCCACACATGACAGCATGCTCTCTGTCGGACTCTTGAATTATTCATGTCAGATAGTAACGGCTTACTTGCATTTTCTCGAGGAAAACAGCACGTTTGCTAGCGCGTAAACGGGCATTTTTGTCCCTCTCTTCCCCATTAGGACAATGCAGGATGATGACCAAGCATTTAGAGTTTAGGTGGCAGCTCCTCCTGTCCCAGGGGAGGGTGAAATGATGAATGTTAGAGCATCATCAGACAGGCTATTTCAGTAGGTGAAAACAGTGATCCTAGTGTGAGTGCTCACTAGATGGTGGGGTACCTTCAAATTGACATGCTGTTAGTACGTTTTATTCGAAGGCTATCAATGTGTGCAGTGGTGGGCTTCAAATGATTTTAAATGTTATGTGAAACAAATTTTCCTTACTGGTGTAGCTAGTAGATGAATGACACTTCCACATTACAGTGTTGCCCGAAGGTTTAGCTTGACATTTGGGAAAAGCATACCTTGGCTTTAGGATAGACAATTTAATTCCCATCTCAACTCTTGTTTTGTGTTCTGAGCAAGGCAGTGGGCTTCCTTGAGCCTCAATTCTCCTAACTATAAAAACTATTTCATGGAATTCTTGCCAGGATTAAATGACTGGGCATATGGCAGTTACCCAAAGATTAAATTTCATAATTATGAACAACGATTCTCAGTATATTTATACCTTTTTGGTTTGGATTTTTCATTAGTACCCTGTGCTTTTTAAAATACATACTGATAGTTATTTCCAAGTTAGAACTCAGCAGCCAGAATTATTTTGCGAGTTAATAAACGTACCTATGATTTTGCCCCATTAGGTCAATTTGAGTCTCTGTTTCTTAGACAACTATATATAGGTTCATGAGGGGTTTTGCTTTTAAAAGCTAGAGTTCATGCTGGAATAAACTTGCACATCCCATAGCACCGTAAAGCATTTTTTGTTTTTTTATTTAATGATAAACTGAACCATGAAACAAACTTCAAAATTTGAATAATAATACATTGAGACAAAGGTGTTTTATGTGCCCATTATTTCAATTAACCAACGTAATTGAGGATCATATTTTTCTTATTTTGAACCAAAATAGAATACTTGTGAAGGAAAATATCCACTGAAATGTTAACTTTTTAAATAATTAAAGTAGTATTTTCAGTTTATTTATTTAGACTAATTAATAGTCTTTATTAGAGTAAGATAAACATCACATTCTTTAGATTCACCTGTTTTCTGTTTTATAGTTTAGTCCAAGAACACAATTAAAAGCAGTTATCATTTAAACATAAGTGGGCTTTTCTGTTGTTGCTGTCTGCCAATCTTGTCAAAGAAACATAAACTATCAATTATTAGACTTTTCACAAGGAAATATACTTCCTGTGCTGCTTGCTGCTCTGTTTTATTCTAAGCATTGTACTGTTCTGTGAAGTTTTTATTTCACTTTAATTCAGAATAGTTATCTGAAAATTTAAACATCTTTAAAAAGCTTAGAGGGGAAAAGAGATTTATCAATTAATGATAGAAATTGAGAAATAGCCTTTCTCCTCCTTTGTCTCATAAACCACTCAGTCCATTTTTGTTTTGTTTTGTGTGGGCAGTACTAGGGTTTGAACTCAGGGCCTCTTGCTTGCTTGGCAGGAGCCATGTGAGCCTTGCCCACCATGCCCCCAACCCTTTTTGCTTCATAGTTATTTCTCAAACAGTATCTCCTTTTCTTTGCCCAGGACTGGCCTTGTACTGTTATCCTCCTATGTATGCTCCCCCTATTTGGGATTACAGGCAAGGACCACCATGTCTACCTCATTTGTTGAGATGGGTTCTCACCAACTTTTTAAAATTTGTCCAGGCTGTCCTCAAACGATGATCCTCCTGATCTCTGCCAAACTGAGTAGCTGGGATTGCAGGTGTGAGTCATCACACCCACCTCACTATTTCTATGGAAATTTTTCCTACAAGTTACTTGGAAGAAACATTCCTTAGGTATTGAGATTATTAGGATGAGAATATAGGAAAATTAAGAGTATTTTTTCATGGAGGATATTTTTATTGAAAGAGATGATAATGGTGATGATGGAAATTGAGCACATGAATAAACTGTTGAAGTAATGAGGAATTAAGGTTTATGTTGGAGTTCTTGAAGCTCAAGAGATTAGGGGTGCATTTACTTTAGTAAAGGAGTCATTGCTATTAATGCCTTTATAATTTACTAACTGGATTTCTGATTATTATCTTTTGATTGTTTTCTAGTTCTTTTATTTAGTGCCTATTGACTGTGCTTACCTCTTGAGGAATGGTTTTGCATGGTGATGAAGAGTCTCACCTTGTACCATATGCCTTCAAGCCAATATGGCATAGTAATCTTAGATGAACCACCTTTCTCTTGGGCTTAGTTTTCTTGTACATAAAAGGGAGATAATGTTGATTATATAATATCATAAGATTAAGTGAAAATTAATGTATATAAAGCAGTGGTTTTCGAAGTATTTTGCTCACATACCCTTAAGAATTTTGAAGAAGCACATTCGTATATTTTTACATTGATATCTGTTATTTGACACCTGGTTTAAATACGTGAAGAATATAATCTCTGACATATTAAAATAACAACACTTTCAAATAAAATTGTTATATCCTTATATTAAACGCATCCAATTAAATATAAAATACTACAGTGATGTGATAGATCTTCTTTATAAAATACATGGACTGGCTCCTAAAAGTCTGAAAGTTTACATTATTTTTGTCTTTGAAATCATTTCCACGTATTTTCCCCACAGAATCTTGTCTCTGCCATTTATTTCTATGCTTGAAAGTGCTTTTTTGATCACCTTCCCAACTTCATAATATGTATTCTTGCAAGCATAAAAGTTCTAAATGTTAAGTCTCTTCTAACATGAATTAATGCATAATTGATTAAGTGTAGTACTTAGGGTGCTTTGAGCAAAGAGGAGCTTTGCTGACACTTTGGAAGTTTTGAAATTTTAGAATGAGCTCTTAAGATTTGGAATGGGTAAGAGATGTACCCTTTTTTAAGAGAAGGACATTTGTTAAAGAGGGATGGTAGAAACAGAATGACCATACAATAGTCCCCTTATGGCTGGTGGAATACTCGGTAAATTACTATAGATCTTAGCAACCTCAACATACAATTTTGCTTTTGTTTTTATTTTTTCCTTATTAAGTTGAGAACTTTACAGCTTCTCTTTGGCATATGCAACTTGTCAGCATCCCTACACTTTGGGGCTGTTATTAAGTAAAATAAGTTAACTGAGCACAAGCACTGCAGTACCATTGTAGTTGGTCCAATAACCAAGGTGGTTATGTTGAATATGTTTGACATGTCCCAGACAGGATAGTAGGACTGTGTGAAATTTCGTGATGCTACTCAGATTGGTGTGCCTTTTAAAACTTACCAATTGTTTATTTCTGGAAATGTCCACTTAATATTTCCTGACCACAGTTGACTATGGAAAGTGAAGCCTTAGATGGGGGGAGACTGTTTTATAGCTGAGACTGCAGATGAGTTTTCAGACAGATTGTCTTGGGAAAGAAAACAGGAAAGTTGAAAGTCTGAAAATTGATTCTTTTAAAATTTACTCATGCTTCTGTACCCTAGAAAAGTCTTTGTTTACCCAGTTTGAAGCTGATATATTAAGTATATAGAGTAGTATATAAATAGTAGAAGAGAAAATTAGAGCATCTTATTCTAATTTCTCTTTCTTTTAATACATTTTATGATCTCCATTGAAGTCCTTATTTTTATTACCTTAAACGAAATCTAAAAACTTAGAGATTTTTGTTTTTGTACTTAATTTAAAAGTTGCTGTTGTTATAGAAATCCTCACCAAATTTGTTTCTTAGAGTCAAAGTATAGTAATGTACTTTATAATGTACATTAAGAGTAATGTCTTCAAATGTACTTTTCCAAATTTGATTAAGATATCTAAATGATTTCAAAGGAATTAAACTTTAAATGTTTTATTTAAAAATTTAAAAAATGATTTATTTTTAGAACTACATGCTATATATAGTCATAGGTGGCTTGCCATTAGGTTTTGTTTGTTTTTTAATCTGTTCAGAAGATACTTCTTAAACTTGGTTATTTTGTTAGTGAATCAGGTTTGATTCTCAGTATTATTTCTAAATATCAGATAGTGTGAAGTATAATCTTAAATACTGCTAATAGATAAAAACAAATACTGGGTTTTGTCTTAAAGTCTTATATAATGTTTATTATAGTGTTTATAATTTATTTGATTTTTGAGCAGTTATGAAGTAGATACTTGTATCATACCTATTTTAGACATGAGAAAAACTGAGGCACAGATTAAGTAGATTTGCCCAAGGTAACACACTTGTGGAGCTAGGATTCAAATTCTGGGAGTCTGCCTTTAGTTCACACTCTTTAACCATTGTACTAAAATGTCCCTTATTTCATGTAAACATTATTCATCTCTTGAGCCTAGTTGACACATGTGTAATTAAAAATGTTGGAGTCCAGAATTAGGGAAAGAATATTGTAAAATGCCTAATCAGGCATTCTCTGCTGTCAGACAAGGTTGCCCTCTACTCACACCCTTTGTGGAATGCAGTTTCTGTCTGATTGGGCCCTTAGTTACAATGGCAAGAATTTTGGGAGAAACAACTGATATTTTAAGGGGGAGAGAATGTCTGTTTAAAAAGAGACATTTAATGAGACTTTAAAATTAAGACTTTCTTTCAAAATTCTATTGCAAGAATGAGATGCAAGGAAATATTAAGCATGACACACTGTTAAGACTTGAGACTTAGTGAAAGCTTTTCTTTGTTGTATTCCATGTTCTATTAAGTAAGATTTAAATGATCTTATTGTCACAATCCACTGTGCAGAATCAGTTCCATGTTAAAGATTGAGGCTTAGGATATTCAGCGGAAATAACATTCAATTTTATGAAGTAAAGGATTTTGACCATCTTAAGTAGAATTTCTATTTTATTTTCATTGAGTGAGTTGGCTGTTTTGCATTTATATTTTTTAACATGGTTACAAATTACATATACATCTTCTTGAAGGGTTTTGGTTGGTTTTTGGTTGTTCTGTTTGGTTGATTTTCTTTGAGATAGTGTCTCATTACATAGCCCAGACTGGACTCACACTTGCCATGGTGCCCAGGCTAGCTTTGAACTTGGGATCATCCTGCCTCAGCCTCCTAAGTGTTGGCATTACAGGCATCTGGCACTGTACCCTAATAATATTGAAGGGTTTGTTTTGGTTTTATGTTGTTTTAATACTTCTCACTATTGCCACCTCCCAACTGCTGGGGTTACAGGCATGTGCCACTACACCCTGCCACTATTGAAGTTTTTACAGGACGTCTCAAAGTTTATTTTCATTAAACATAAATTTTAGTTAATGAACTTACAACTTGACTTTTTTAAGATCGAAACTCCTGTTTTGTCCTCTTAAAGATACAACACTAATAAAAAGGTTTCACTTTTAGATTTACTTAGTTTTTCTAATACTTGAATAACATTTCTTCCTTACCCTAAAACACAGATTTAAAATAATTTATCTTCATATTCCACTAAGCTGTATGATTCATTAACTAAAATGTATTGATTGGACATATGGTAGTGATACATGATGATTCTCAAATAATTAACTCTTGAATGACACTAGATTACTGCCTGATAAATAACTTTACTACATCTAGATAATGGTATGTAGTTCTCTTACCCCAAGAAATGAATGTTCTTTACTCCAAATACCTTACAACTTTAGAAACAATTTAACCTCAGAATTCTATTAATATTTTATAGGAATAATTCTGGAATTCTGGCCGTTTGTGGTAACTATCAGTACCTCTTAAAGTCAGTTATGACATAGTCATAAATAAGTTGTCATAAAACATGTGGCAGCAATGCTTAATTTGTTGGTAGTTTTATTTAACTTACAGCCAAGAAAAAGCCTAGCGTGTAATTAAAATAATAGAACCTCCAGGTGTGTAATAGCTCGGGAGTACCTGTGTCAGACTTTCACTCGTTCTATTTATTCTTTACATTAATAGTGCTCAGATTCTCCTGATACTCCATATTTTAATAGATTAGAAGTACCTTAGGAAAGGATTGTATCTTTCTAGACCTAGAATTATACTTGTAGATTTAAAAGAATACTTTCTGATTACATTAAGAAGTTATATTATTTTTATCTTTGACTTTTACAGAGCATGTTCTTATAAATATGAAATGTAATGAAATTAAGCTTGGAAAGGTGGCAGACTTGGTGAGGAGTAAAAGTAAATAAAAGCCATGAAAGCAGATACTGGTAGTTTAAACTTACAGCAGTCTTGATCCATTTCAATAAGGGGCATCCCAATTCCTAAGGCATTCTAGTTTAAAAATCAGAATCTGTAATGATAATCAATCCCTATGTAATAAATAAAAGGTTGTGTCAGATTTATTACCTCTGTCAAGAAGTAGCATTCAATCTCAGGTTGATAGAGTGATTCAGGCTGTAGAACTCTTGCTTAGCAAGTGTAAAATGCTGAGTTCAAACCCCAGTACCACCAAAAAACAAAAAAAAAGGTAATAAGATAAAAAAAGAAGTGGAGTTATGTAATATACTGCAGAAGGTGTTTTTAATTTAAAGTGAGTAACCATAAGCATTTCTAAAATTTCCTTAATTTTCATAAATATTAACTCAATGTAAATCTGTTTTCCTTCTCTTTGTTTTTCTATCCTTTGTCCTCCTTTTCAGGTACTGTATTAAAACAAAACTTTCTTTGTACTTTAAGTGTAAGTAAAATCTATCATATTCAAAGTAATTAATTTTTTTCCCCAGGTGCAACAAAGTACACAGATAAAGACAATGGAGGGATGCTTGTATGGTCTCCATATCACAGTATCCCAGATGCCAAATGTAAGTTTTCTTGAGATTGAATGTTAAGGTCAACAGGGATCCGTCATCCAATTCCAAATGCAGCTTGTACTTGCTTTTTGAATCTTTTAGGTTCTCATAAGAAAAGTTTTGTCTTTTTTTTTTTTTAATGGAAATTGTTATATTAGAATGTTTTTCCTTTGAAAGATATGGGTTGATCATTCCAATTGTGTCAGGCCCATGAAGAATGAAAAAAACCTAGGATCTGATGGCATTGCTGCTTAAATCCTCAAGCAGGGGAGGGAGTTACTATGTAGACATCTGCACAGGCTTTTCCTCAGTCTATGGAGCTGTAAAGAAATGCCTTCAGACTTCAAAGAGCCCACATATCATTACCAATTTAAAGAGGAAAGGGGAAAGAACTGACTTCAGCAGCCATCAGGTCATCTTTGTGCTCTCCATTTCTGGACGGAGACCTTCTGGATCATTGACAATGCACTTCTTGAATCATGGTGTGGCTTTAGACTTCAATGTGATGTAGCGGACCTGATCCTTTGCGGCACATCAGATATAGGAAACGTGCAGGTAACAACACTAAGATCCCCACCCCTCCATTCAGTTATCTTTGAATTTATTAAGTAACAACAGCAGCAACACTGAGCAGCCATTGTAGCAGCTATAAAATAAGCTTGTCTTTTAAAAATACTAACATCTTAAAGATGTCTTATTATGGTTTATTTAGTTTCAGGAAAATTAATGATGTCCTATAGTAAGTCTAATCATGCTTAGGAATACAATAAGAGAACTAAAAATTTAAAACTGCTGTGCAAACCTGATAATCCTTTCTATTTAAGGGCTTTAGAAATACCAGCTTCAGATCTAGCTGGTAAGCTAGGAATTAGTGCCCTTAAGGCATGCATTCCTAATAGAAAACATGAAATTGTTAGGACTGTATACGAAGAAGATGAAAGAGACTTGGTTTTCTCCAGTTCAGTCCTCATCACATGCAAAGGTTTTCAGTTACAAACCCAGCATCAAGGTGTCGTTGAATTGTGCAGTTTTATACAATGGTACCTTTCTTAGCAGAATAGACAAGGAAATTCAGAAAGCTAACATGTCCTGGTAGTACGGTATTCTTCTGGAATGTCCAGTGAAAGTCTAGGACAATGATTTTCAACCCTGGTTGTACATTGGAATCACTTGTGGAACTTTTAAGAAGTGCTGATGTCTAGTCTGTATCTATCTCAAAACAATTAAATCCATATCTTTAAAGGTGATGTCTGGGCATTTAAAATTTTTTTTAAGCTCCTGTGCTGATTCTAATGCATAGCCAGGGTTGAGAACCACTGGTCAAATGGTATTGTTTAGCTTTCTATCTATAGGACTATAAGATACTTTGTTAAATTTAATCAGCATATATTTAGGCTTACCATGTATTTTAGTGTGTGGGTTCTAAGCAAAATGTAACATTTGAATTTTTAGAACCACAAGCTTATATAATAACATTCATTAAAAAATAGTTGCTCTTCTAGCAGCACTTTGTTACAATAGCATGTTCATATATTAAACTGTACTGACCAGTAATATTAGAAGACACTCAAAATGTGCCAAATGCTGTTTGGAGCATTTTCCATATGTTACCTCATTTATCTATAAGAGGAAGGTACTGTTTTTTATCACAAATTTAGAAGGAGGAAACTAAGGTGCAAAAAGTTCGAGTTGCTCAACCAAAGTCAAAAACTAGCAACAAGCAGAAAATTAAGCCCAAGTAAACTGTAGCTGTTCCAGGATCAAAATTCTTAAGAATTCTCATTCCCAAAAATATATTTAAAGAATTAATTTCATATATAAGTAAAAAATAATTTTAAAAGATCAAGAAGGAGTGATTATTTGAACTTCACATAAAGCAGAGGCCTGGATGTGGCAGACTTCTTAGCAGTAAGCCTTTAAAAAGCCCGTGTGTCATTAAAACTGCTTCTCTGAGTAATTTTGTTGGTTTAATTACATATGCAGGATAAATGAAAATTGAATGCTCCAACACTGGATAGCAAGCAGAAAGAGCTGAAGAAAATTTTAGGAATATTGAAGCATACTTAAATGTGTCATTCTTCTGTATAGCTGGCAAAATCATAAATAAACCATCCTTTATACAGCAATCATAAATGGGATGGAAAAGGCTTTGGGCCAACTCTTAAGTATAAGAAAGGGTCTTAAACAACTAAGTCTCTTCAAATTAAGACTGTAATGGAAAACCAAGAAATTATCATAGTATTTTATGCTGTAATTAGGATCGATTGTCTGCTCACAGGTTGCTCTTTCTCAGCATACAAAAATAACTATAGCACATCATTGAATTTGATAAGTATGTCATACATGGTCTTAGGTATCATACTAAATAAAATTTAAAACAAGGTGAGCTTCCTTCCCATCCTGTTTGTATTGCTCACTTTCTGAAGCATATGGAAGGTGGCTATGGATGTATTTTACCCCTGGAATAATAAATTATTTTGTTTTGCCATGTTAAAAAAAAAAGTAGACCTAAGCAAGTGAAGCAAATGAGAGTAATTGTCTAACATTGTTTTCATTCCAGTGGATGAATACATTGCAATTGCAAAGGAGAAGCATGGCTACAATGTCGAACAGGTCTGTAGAGAAACTTTTTATTTTTTGAAGAAGTAGAGTCTCACTGTGTTCCTCAGACTGGCCTCGAAGTCCTGGGTTCGGGCAGTTCTCTTGCCTCAGCCTCCTAAGTAACTGCGGCTGCAAGGCGTGCACCACTGCACTCTGTTTTGAAGGAGAGATTCTTAAGTCTCTTTTCAACTGAATTATCACCTCTACCTAGGTAGATGTATTTTGAGAGAAGAACAGTAAAATATCTATAAACTGGGTTATCGAGTAACTTTATAGTCAGTAACATGGTAAATAATAGTCATTCTTGTGAAATTGAGATGCTTATTTTATTTATATACGCAAGCATCATTAAGTCTTTGTGAGGTTTGAAGCCTTTGTCTACCTTGTCTACTCTGTTTTTTAAGCCTTGCTTTTCTATTTAATAATTTATTTGGAAAAGTTAATCCTTTAAAATGTTAGTGTGTATATATTGCTATATCTGTTTTTGAAGAATGAAAGTTTATCCTCTAAATGATATTTATAGTGATGATAAAAGCTTACTACTTATAAGAGAGGGAAAAATAATGGAATTTTTGTAAATTGGTTGTTTCAGGCTTTCTTATGACTTGGTAATCAAGTCATTGCCTTCTAATACTATACATATACATTATAGAAATAAAGAACTTTAAAAAATATGAGTAATAATTTATTAAGTTGTTAATGTTACAGTGGACATCGCCTTACTTCTTGGACATGTTTAGCCCATAATATACCTCTAAAAGGTTAAAATGTAAAAGTCCCACTGAGCATTTCTGGTTTTGTGTTATAATTGATAGTTTCAAGTATTGAGTTACTGGGTATTTTCCTTTTAGCATATTTTCCCCTATACATTGACAAAATAGCACATGTGGGTGAGAGTCTTAAATTAAAAAAACCTACTTCAGAAATTAAAGTCACCCTCAGCCCAGTTTTTCCTAGATTCTGAAGCAAATATGGTATATATGAACATTTACTGTTCTGAGGCCTTGATTTAAAAGAAATAAAATAAATCAGGCACCCCTGATTAAAAGCTCCAAACTGAGTTTATAGTTGAAATTATGGGCTTAAACTTTAAATCTGATTGGCATTTAACTTTTCTTAAGTGTGATGGAACATAAATCCATTCAAACCAAAGGGGAATGATTTTTCTTAAAGGCTCTTGGCATGTTGTTCTGGCATAAGCATAACATTGAGAAGTCCCTTGCTGATCTCCCTAACTTCACTCCCTTTCCTGATGAGTGGACAGTGGAAGATAAAGTCCTGTTTGAACAAGCCTTTAGTTTTCATGGGAAGAGCTTTCACAGGATTCAACAAATGGTATGGTGATTTTGGTCTTATATGATTCATGCCTGAATAACATCTTATGCTACTATTGAATACTTCCAAATTATTAAATACAAAAAAGTTTTTCCCTCAATTTAATTTAAAAAATATTTTGAAATAAGCGTATTTGTGGACAGTCCTACTTTCTACAGTCTTTCATGCATGACAATTGTGTGCTCTTTCATTTTTATTTAGCTTTTATTTTACTTAAATATGTATGTAACAGTTATTAAATGTGTGTTTTTCCAGGAAAAATCATAATTTCACCTTTCATTTTTGAATGTTTTAGTTTTTGATATTTGGATTTTGTTTCCTACTTTATATTTTTTGATAGGAAAACTTACTTTTTTTAATTCTGTATTTCAGAAAGCCCATTTTTGAAAATTGTATAGTATTTCAGTATTGTCAGATGTTGCAGGGGGTTGTTGTTGTTGTTAAGGAGATTCATTGCTCTATATTTCTAGTTCTTAAATTTTAGTATTATATCAGAATAATATAAATCTAAGAAATGAATCTATTTTAACCAGAGTGAAAATTAGATAATGTTTGCAAATGTATCTAGATATCTTCCATAATTAAAGAGAACATTTTTGTTGGAGAATTTATATACTCATTTGTGAGTATGATCACTAGATCATTAGTCACTTTTCATACTTAAAGACTATTGGTGGCCAAAGTCTGTTTGCATTATTTACCATCTTAAGACCTGGATTTAAAACAAAGTCATGTTTAAAAAATTCATTGTTAAGAATTGCATAGTACTTATTTTTTTTTTGGTTTTGTTTGGGTTTTTTTGGTTTTGGTTTTGGTTTTTTTGTGTGGTCTTGGAGTTTGAACTCTGGCCTCATGCTTGCTAGGCAGACACTCTACCACTTGAGCCACTCTGCCAGCCCTTTCTTACATTGGTTATTTTTGGGATAGGGTCTCTCTTTATATACTAGCTGGCCTGGATTGCGATTCGTCCCATGTACCTGGGATAACAGGCATGTGCTATGCACCCAGTTATTGTTTGAGGTGAGGTCTTGTGAACTTTTTTTGCCCTGGGTAGCCTCAAACAGTGATCCTCCCTATCTCAAACTCCTTAGTAGCTAGGATTGTAGGTGTAAGCCACTGCGCCGGCTTAAATAGCTCTTCTTGAAAATATTTTGCTGTGTGAAAGAAACCAGATTCAAAAGACTATATGCTGTATGATTCCATTTATATGAAATGTCCAGAATAGGAACTCCATCCAGACAAGAAATAAATTAGTGGTTTCCAGGGACTGCCCAGAGAGAATAGGGAATGATGCTAATGGCTATAGGATTTCTTTTTTGAGATTATGTTGTAGAATTAAAGGTAACAGCACAATTTAGTGATTATAGTAAAAACCACACATTTGTACACCAAACATGGTGAATTTTTTGTGAATTTGATTATATCGCAAAAGAATTCTGTTTTATTGAGGTGGGGACATGTAGCTCTTTAAAGGAAACAAATATTAAATACTGTAGCATGACTGTGCTGAGGACTTCTGGGGACGTTCTAAGTTAGTTTGACATCTTCCTTCTACTTTCCAAAACAGTAATATTCATTCAGAAATGTCAATGACATTGGTGTGATGGGGTGCTCTGACTATTCGCAGCACTTTCTAGCTCTTACAATTCATAAAGATACCCACAGATACTTTTCTCTTATGCCTTCATTATCAAATAATAATACCAGTTATATAATTAATTTTATTAGTCAGAATTTATTAATAAAACTTGTCAATATTAACAGGATTTCTTTTTAAGCTTCCAGATAAGACAATTGCAAGCCTTGTAAAATATTACTATTCTTGGAAAAAAACTCGCTCTAGGACAAGTTTGATGGATCGCCAGGCTCGTAAATTAGCCAATAGACATAATCAGGGTGACAGGTAGGTTGGATGCCTTTATATAGTTACATTGTTAGGAATGTTACATTGCATCACTTATATTTTATAAGGCAGAAAAATTATCACAGAGCTTCGAGTAGTTCCTATCCTTATGTTCATGTTTCTGCTGTGACCAGCAGAGCCAAGTGATCAGAAGGCTTAATAGTGAGAACTCTGTCAACTCTGAACTGTAATCAGAAATGCATCCTTTTAGTGTTGATAAATTCAATACATATATCTAGAGTATATTAAGTAACATATTTTGCTTAAGATGTCCTTTCCACAATCACCTGAGTAACTGAAGTTTCCTATTTTGTAACTGTCTTTTTAGTAACATAAATCATTTTGTTTCTTGGTTTTTGTCCATCTTTATACTTTCCACTAGAGATCCAAAATTGTAGATAAATATTATATCAAATTGTGTGTGTTCTATTTCCCAAATGATACTTCTTTCTAAGTCTCTTGCCCACTGAATCTCTTATTTTCTTAGCTAGAAATGTTTGCTAAAATGATTCTGTAAGTTCCAAAGGATAAGTGTTTCTAAACACTGCAGAAATCTAAATTATAAGCTCATCTTCCCAATGACAATTCTCGTTCTGTCAAAGAATATTTAGTAAATTATTAGACGATATATTACAATTCGATAAGAGCACTGGAATAAAAAGAAGGAAATTAATTCTACAAATTTTTGTTTCTTCCAGCGATGATGATGTGGAAGAAACACACCCAATGGATGGGAATGATAGTGATTATGATCCTAAAAAGGAAGCCAAAAAAGAGGTAATGATCATTACATGCTTTTACAGTTTTTCTACAAATCTACTCAAAAACAATGACTAGTACTTCATATTAAAAACTTCTTAATATAATAGTTCAGGAAGTGGTAAATTTTAATGCCAATACGAGAGTTTGGGAACTACAGTAATATCTAGTTTTTTAAGTAATATCTAGTGTTTTAAGTAATTTGGGACTTATCTCCCCTAGTCCCTAGTCTTTAATCCATAGAAAAAAATTAAAAAATAAAACTCCCCTTAGATGATATAGTATTAGCTATAAAATTAAGCTTTCTGGTTTTGTTTCACAATTGTTTTTGGAAACATTTACCCAATTATGTTGTGCCAAATTAGAAAGTAGTAGCAGGTACATGGACAGAAGTGAAAATTGAAAGCTGACTCAAAGTTAGAGGGAAGAATCCCCAGTCAGAAAGTGCTCCTATTCCTTTATATGATGATGGCAATTATAACTTAAAGTCATTAAGAAAAGGCTAAATAGATACACATGCTGTTTAATAAGGTGAGGAATTACATAGTTATAAAAAGTGTGATTATGATGTTGATAGGTAAAGACTTCTGAGGTATAGGCATCTTTGAAATTGGGGACAGTAGATACGAGTCTGTTTAATCTTATAGTTGATTAAGTGTATGATATTCCTCTTAAGAAACTCAGTTCCATGATCCATTCTGGCCCTTTCATCATTTTAAACTCTTCCATTAATGAAAATTTTAAAATCCTCTTCTACTTCAACTTGATACTAATACCAATTTTTTTTTACTGTTAAATATTTTGGAATTCCTTGATTTCTTCATTCCCCCCTCCACATACACAAACTTTACCTTTGTTTCTTTGAGCCATGGACCCAGTGATCAACTATTTGAATTTTTTTCTTTCTCATTTCTTTAATTCCCCATTTCTCTTACTCTTCTGCTGAACCTTCTATAACCCTGTAAATCCAAAATGCTGTCTCAGTTGCATTTTTGGACTGAGAGGCACAAGAGAAAAATGACACAATTATGTACATTGTTACTACTACAAAAAAAATAGTTTCCAATCTCAGGGTAGTTCTTATTGCCTCTGGCATTTTAACTTCTTAAGTCTTCATGTTTCCCTTGTTGAAATGAAAAATGATGGGATTGTTTTGAATTATTCAGGATAGTAAATCTTGAATACAAGTTTCTGTTTTATTATCTAGGCTCTAGGAAGCTATTTGGACATTAATCCTTGTATACATCTCTTGACACTCTGGTACACCCCCCCCAAAAAAAAAAATACTTGGCAGATAACTTTGCCTTCTACTTGACAGAGAAAATACTGCCCAGGCACTCTCTTACATTACAGCACCTCTCTACTATTCTGCCCTTTTCATCTTAGAACATTTCATTATATTTGCTTTATTTTGCCCACCAAGCTGTGAACTCTGAAATCCTGACTTCAAAGACTCAGCGCTTACTGAGTTACTCATCTTATATTCCCCAGCATTTTGCATAGTACCTGGTATATGGCAGGTAGTCAGTAAATGTTTGTTGAGTGAATAGTCTGTGCCTAACTGCTTCTCTCTCACAATAAGAAGGGGATTCTACTCTTGTTCTGTAAATCACTGCTTATTTGATCCTCTCCATCCCTTTGTGTCTGCTCTGGACTGACTCTCTCTCTCTCTCTCTCTCTCTCTCTCTCTCTCTCTCTCTCATTTCTGTATTTCCAATCTTCATTGCAGCCCAAAAGTTTATTCACATCTTCTGTTTAAAAGTCTAGAAACAGCCATGCTCCTTGATACTACTTCACTCTTGAGTTTGCTTTAGTCCAGCTGCTACTGGCCCACCTTTCACTGAAACTGCCTGAGAGATAACCAGTGACCTACCTGCCACATCCATTGATTGCATTGTATTCTACTTGCACTTCCTGTATCATTTCACATTACTGACTCTTCTCTTCTTAGAAATCTCCTGGTGTTAGGCTGAGTATAGTGGTGCACACTTGTAATCCCCATCACTGAGGAGACTAAGGTAGGAGGATCATAAGTTCCAGACAGTCTGAAAAAATAAATTTTTTTAAAAAGCTTTTATTTTTGTAACCCCTCCTTTAGTTCCTGTCCATCTTTTTAAATATTGTGTCTGACTTTTAATGGCATCTTTTTTTTTCCCTCATTTTACTATATTCATTTTGTCAGTACTGCTTTTAATTGTCTCTTAAATCATTGTGAAATTTGTGTTCTTCTCTCTGTTCTTTTATTTGACTGCCTTATTTTGAACTGCTCTCTATCATATTGCCATGCCTCAGACTCTTCACACCACCTTTGAGTCCTTTTGCTACCATATTGCCACAATAATCTTTTCAGATTTGCAGCTTACAACCTTTCCCATGGCTTGCTTTGTCTGCAGATCAAACATATACTCTTCAGTTACTCATACCCCACTCTACTCCCCCACCCCACATATTACAAATGTCTTTTAGTTCTCTTGACTTTTTCCTCAGGTTATGTTGGTTCCTTGTTTCTAGAATTTCCTTTCTTCCCAAATCTGCTTAGGAAATTCCTCACACCTTTACAAGATGTAGATTTCTTTTTTAAATCCTCTTGCACCATAACTTGAACTGACATCCCATTTTTCCTTACATCTGTATTGCAGTACTGACTACTCTGAACAGTATGTGCCTACTCATAGTCCGTGCCTACTCATAGTCCGTGCCTACTCATAGTCCGCCCCTTCCCTCCAACACACACACACACCTGCCTGTCCTTAGGTAGTAAGAGCTTTAAAAATAAGAACTATGTTTTACCTCTTTTTACTCCCAGAGCCTAATACATAATAAGTATTCAGTAAAATTATTATAATGAATGAGAATATATTTTATAACCTCTTAATTATTGTACAAATATGAGACGTGAGGGATTTGGTTTTAGTTTTCCACAAAATATATGTATGAGGATGTATGATAATACACCCTCATTTGGCCTTGTGTTTGCCTGTTGTCTCATCCTATTAGCAAACACTATGAGATGAGTATAAGTTAAAAAGCACTAAAAGGATGCTATGAGCTTATGATCCAGAACTAGCACTTTGTGCCAGCAGCTTCACTCATTTATTTCTGTGCTCCTTCACAAACGGTAGGGAAAGCAGGAAAGGAAAGATACCAAATTGTAGCCTTTAATACAGATCTTTATGTGCTTTTGCCTGTTGTTAACATTACAAAGTTTTTATTTTAACTTTTAGAAATTGTGAACTGTACATATCGAGTGTGTACAGTTTAAAGAATAATAATAAAAATGCATACTAGGGTAACAATTACTGAGCTTAAGAAATGATAGTCTTGGGCTGGAGGTATAGCTCAAGTGGTAGGCCTGCCTGGCAAGTGCAAAGCCCTGAGTTCAAACCCCAGTAGCCAGTCTTTATTCTTTCAATTATGTGCCCCTCCCTTCTCTCCTGAGGGAACCTTATCCTGAAATTCATCAGTTTTTCACTCCTAATAGTTTCATCACTTATATGTGTTTCTCTGAGTAATTACTTGGTTTTGTCATTTCAGACTTTTAAATGGAATTATATATATTTTTAATACTGCTTTTTGTTGTTATTTTGACTATTCATTTTCATTGCTATAGTGTAATGTTCCATTCTATGTCTATACTGCAACTTATCCCCTCTCCTATCAATGGACATCATTTCAGATTTCTTGAGTATGGGCAGTGCTTATAGGAACATGTCCTTACTGCATATGTATGATGGATCCTTTAGAACATTAGTTCACAGAAAGGTTTAGCATTGCCTTATAAAGGGGCATTTAGAAATTATGGGGGTGTTTTTTGTTTTACAGTGGTTGGGGGACACCACTATCCTGGAGAAAGGGATGACAACTATCCTGAAATACACAGAACAAATTGTTTCACCAAAATGCCAACAATGACTGAGTAATAGTGCCCCAGGATCATCTGGAGTAAAATTACTCTATTTTAGTGTATGACCATATTCATCTTCCCTCGGTAATCATTTTCCTTAGGAAATCAAATCATTTCCTGTATTTGATATATTTCGTTGGGCTATGAGTACTCATTGTCCACTTCCTTGCCAATACTTGATCAGACTTTTAAAATGTTACAGATCTGGCAAGAAGAGATTGTATCTCATTGTGCTCTCGATTTCATTAATCAGATTACTCATGAGACTAAATATATTCCAGCTGTTTATCTGGCTATTATATCCTTTTTAAGTCCCTTTTTTATGTTGGTTATGGTTTTTTTTTTTAACCTTTTCCATTAAAAATAAAGTGTTAATTTTTTTCTTATTGAATTCCTTATGTATTCTGCATATCTATTCTTTGGTTTAATGTATTGCAAAGATCTTTAAGCAGTTAGTGGCTATCTTCTTACTCTCTACAGGCTTTAGGTGAACAGCTATTTCATCAAAAGCATGTAAACCTTCAAAATTCCGTATTCTTTCTTATTTTATAAAAGTTTTAAAGTTTTCCTTTATACATTTCAGTCCCTGATCTACCAGTAGGTTCATGCTATGAGGTATTTTATTATTTTTAGTGTTTTTTAATATAGAAGTGACTCCCATTTTTTCAACTGGTCTACACCACCAGCTCTATCATATGTGAGGCTTCTGTATATGCATGGCCCTCTGTTCTGCCCCTCTTTGTCAGTTTAATATCCCTTGTCAGTTCCACATTGTGTCAATTACTATAACTTTCTAAGTATAGCTTAGACAGCTGTTAGAGCAAGTTCCACTACTTCTTTTGTGCTGTTTTGTTTGTTTGGTGGTGGGTGGGTGGGTTTTGGCAGTATAGGGTTTGAACTTAGGGCCTTGCAGTTGCAGGGCAGGCACTATACCACTTGAGCCATTGTCCCTAGCCTTTTGGTGGCTCTTTTTAAGGAGTGGGTACCTTGGCTATTCTTACAGCTTTGCTCCTCGAGCTTGTCACACCCAGACAACCCTATTTGATACTTTACTGACTATGTATAAAAGGGTCGAGAAATGAAACCTTTGTATAAATTATTTGTAGATTATTTT